GTGAATATGGTACATACATGTACAAGTACATGCATGTTGTTCAGGTTTAATACCCCAGGGACACTGATGAGAGCGACATTGGTCCAACAAAACAAAAATCAAAAATCAAAACGCCGTTACTGCAGGAGATCCTTCAAGCGATTTTCCTTCAATGCAGATTCTTGCTCATTTCAAGCCATATCACACTGCACAGTTTGACCCAGAAAGTATAGGTCAACTATGGCGCAAGCTCTCTAAATTTGTTTATGGTCGACTATCTGCCACAATAATAACGTCATAGAATCATGATTGAGATCTCTGTTGCATTCAAGCGATTTTTAGAATCATGTTACAAAACGCATCTTTTTTCAGCGTTTTCTGTTTACGTTTTGAAACAAGTTTATTTTTACGACCGCAAAAAATTGCTTGAATGCAACAATGTTTTAAACTAAACGCCTTTGAAAACCGTGTTTGTAGAGTTAAAAAAAGTGTCGCTTGAACGGACCCTTGGTCGTTTGCAATCGGCTTTGAGTCGGTTTGGTTGGTGACTAAGATATAAATTTATTTGCTTTAGGGCCAGGCTACGTGAACAACTTTTGACAAAAATTCAGAAATTCATTTTGTGTGAACAAGATTATCATACTTGACCCTGTTCTTAGCTGAACCTAAATTCATGTTGTCATGTCATTTTTTTTCTAACAAAATGATGTTGGTTAATCCTAATTTAACCATGTTGTTATCAAGTTGTAATAGCTGAACCTAAAATCATGTTGTTGTCATGTGGTATGATCAGGAATTGAACAAAAAAGGGAATTTCCCTTACATGTTTGGAGACTGAATCACTCTCCATGCATGCCAAGGTCAAATCTTTTTTAGGTCACATATCATGTAGTTGTCAAGGGAGCAACAGATTAAATCATTGGCTGCCTGCAAGAGGGTCATGGCAGCTACAGCTATATATTGTTAATGGCAGTTACTGCCTTTTTGTGAGAAGTGGACAAAGTGCTCTGGGGGGTGTTTCACAAAGATCCTAAGTTGAACTTATCTCTAAGTTGGACTTAAAAATTATGGAAAGCCATTAGCATCTTTGAAAATATTTTGTAAAAGTTATTTTGAAAGGCATTAATTGTTTATTCAAATCTATTCATATTTTCTATCATCAAGGAGATTTCATGTTCTGGATGTGGAATTTATAAAAAGTCTAAAATACTTGAATTTCTGCTTTTGAATATATTTCATTTTAAGACTCCAATGGCTATCCATTATTTTTAAGTCCAACTTAGAGTTGAGTTCTACTTAGGATCTTTGTGAAACACCCCCCTGTTGTGTATCAGGCAGAAGAGCATTTTCATTGAAATCCAGAAAATTTGTTATGGTCACAATTTGCCTATGAATGCACTTTTCTTTGGTCTCACAACCATGCCAGTATATAATGTATGCTGGAATTGACCAGTATATATGTCAGTACACCTAAGTTTCAGCCTTGACACCAATAATATACACTAGAAATGTTTGGTGTTTAGTTTCTTTACACCTGTTACTGATATTATGGAGTCTGCTCATGTCCAGTGGTTGACATACAAGATGTGATTTACCAATGTAAACATTGAAACTCAAGTACCATGCAGGAGTGGCACTTTGTTACCACTACAATGACATTGTGTCATCATGGTCTCACAGGTGCAGAAAACACCATATTTTAAATCTTTGCGTACTGGTGTATGTTCTGAATAAAGAGTAATACAGATTTCTGTAGGAAATACTTTGTATTTTTCCACTTTTCCTAAGCTCTGTTCAAGCTTCCCACAGGTACATGTGGTTACTTAGTTGGCAAAGAACAAATGTTTGTTACCGTTTTAATGGTATATAAACCGCCCTCGTTTATTAACCGCACCCCTCTTTTTCACCCTAAAAAAAAAAAATTGCTGACTCTTTCGGCAGCAAGCCAGGTCCGTGTTAAAAAACCCACACGGGAAGGCCTTTCATTTAACTGCGAGGTGCAGCTGAATGTGTAAGATCATTAATGTAAATTAAAAAACAGTAGAGGACCTAGATAGGAACCTTGTGGTACGCCATGTACTGGAAGAAAAATTGGAGGAATTATTATTATAAACTACATATTGAGATCTATCAGAAAGATTACTTTCAAACCAAGATGACCGACAAATTTGAGTGTTGTTCTAGTTTCCGAGTTGTGAGTCAACACACCGATTACTGAGCTGGGAGACATTGCCAGGCATAGCGCCAGGTGGAGGGGCATAAATCGAAACTTTAAAAAAAAAGTGTGGTTAATACACTGTTAAGTACAGTAGTATTTTTGCAACCAGAGGACCAACGGCTTTAGGTCCTTTCCGAGGGACCTGGTGATGAGGATTAATGCCTTTAATACCAAAGGGCACTAGTGCAACGACTTGGTTTCAGTCGCTGGATTAAGAGACCACTGCTCTACCAACTGAGCTATCACGCCTCCTCTACATGTCATCTGTTCTGGAGCCAGAACATATAGTACTCACATGTACATGTACTTTATTGAAGAGTTAACACCCTTCTGGCTTAGAAAAATACCAGGCCTGGAACATATGGCATTCATACAGTGTACATGTGCATGCAATTCACTCCCCACTCCTCTTTATTTTCCCCTGAAATGTTGTACTATCATTATTCATTAACATCCAAGTTCAAAATCTTGCCCTGATAGAAAAGAGAACATTAAAGGTATGGTATGGGGTCATGAATTTGGTTCAAATGAACATATTGGAAGCATATGCGATCCTAAAATATTCAGTGATCGTTGTCGCGGTTGAAATCAAGTCTAAAGTTATGAAATTGTAAATAATAAACTCTTTATGTTGTATAGCTCCCTCTCAAGGTCGAGATATTAATTAAGCTATAAAACAACGTTTCTTGACAATAATCGACCGATTAGCTATTTCTGTTTGGAAATTATACATTATATCACAACTACATGTTTTTCATGGTCGCAGCTACCATTGTAGGCCGTATATAGGTGCTATTTGAAATTTATCAAAATTTACCAGGAGCAATTTTTCTCGAAAGCAGAAGTGTTTTAGGGGCTAAATTTTCTAGTGCTTATGATACATCCACAGGGGCATCCAAATATATCAAAATTGCAAAGAATCACTATCCACCCAATTTTCAAAATATCCCGAAACTGTTTATTACCTTTAATAATGGATATTTCTTACATGCACATACAACTGTACATGTAGAGCAACACAAAACAAGCTTTTTTATTCCTTGATCAAACACACCCACACCTGCACTTGGCACACTACAAGGTTAGGAAGACACACCCATCTTATATGGGCAATGCCAAGTTTAACCACCCAGTATTAATCTTTGCATAAATGCAATTGAATAAATCTGTTTATCATAACTGTTATGCTAGATGTTGTTTGTTTGGAATCAGAAGGGTATTAAATCAGTGTTAAAGTATATATCGGTTAATGCCTTTTTGCCTCCACAAGCAGATGATATGGAGCTATTAGGCCAAATAAAATTTAAAAAAACATGTTTTTAATAGCGTCCTGCCTTTATGAAAAATAGGAAGGAGGAGGCCCTTTTTTTCTTCTTTTTTTCCCAAAATGGCTGCTCGGTACATTTTCCCTGACAGCCTGGCTATTTTTTAAGATGGCCACTGCCATTTTTTTTTTTTAATCAGAAATAGATCCATTTTACCAGTGTTTTTTTTTTTTGTCTGAATTAAAAAAAATAAAAAAATAAAAAAAATTAATTGACTTGCTATCAGATGGCAGCTAGTAGCCTGGATTGTAGGATTATACCAGCCCCTGCTCCCCCTTCTTACATGTATGTGTGTGTATATATATACCCCTCTCTCTCTCTCTCTCCCCCCCTCTCTCTCTCTCTCTCTCTCTCTCTCTCTCTCTCTCTCTCTCTCTCTCTCTCTCTCTCTCTCTACTTACTCCTCTCACTCTCTCTCAATTTGTGTTGAATTAGCCAACATACAACTATCAAATATAGTGCTCTGCCAAACTATAATTTATCCGCAGTGAGAGTGGATCTTAATCCATTGACATTTGATCTAGAGGTGATAATATATTCATAATAATTATGTAGCTTGAGACAGACTACACATGTACATTGTAGGCCTACGGTATGTTTATTTTCTTACAAAGTGCTAGACTTGATAGTGCTAGAATTCAGACTCAGTTCAACACATGTTTATGCTTCGAAGGAAAGCCTAGGGCGTCATACACATATATCTGAAAATATAGCTTCTGTGCAGTTTTCTCATTTGTATTTCTAAACCACAACTTGATTTGCATCCAAAACATAAAAATAACAAAAACTCAAACAGTAATACCAACATGAAAAGACAATGCATACATGTACATGTACAGTGTATACTGTATGTTGACAGCCCAGAGGTTATACAAAGGACAAGGTAAAAAGAAAAAATGTTGTCTGAAAACACGGAACCCAATGCCAAATGAACCCAAATGAACAATTTTTCTTTTAATAAAAGGGCATTTGTAGTCTTCTATTACCATTTCTTGTCGTTGAAACTTGATTTTGATTGTTGTTGCCTGCCTGTATAGTTGAAGGAGACTGGTTGGTGCCTGCCCATTGTGAAAATTGCCACAATTATTTCTACAAATTTCATTTTTCAAAGAAACATCGTTTTCCTAAGAAAACCTTCCCTTCATAATGGAATGAAAAGATGATATACATGTTGATATTAAAGATAAGATGCACACACACAGTATGCACTTATTATGTACTTCCAGTGAATTGTTTGGTTGCCATGATGATTTCCTATCAAGCTACAGTATGATGTTTTTGTCGGGGGGGGGGGGGGGGGGGAATTAGTATCATTTTTTCTTCTTATTAACTTTTATGTTTGTGTGTATTATGCATTTATTATGAATGGATGTATAATTAATGTATACCCACTTTAATATCTATTAATAGGGGAAAACATGCATTTTCAAATTGTCTAATATGGAATATTTGTTTTATTTTTTTATTTATTTGTGCAGCTTCAACAAGGCAGATACATGGTCATCTCGCTCCTCTTTCTCAAAGGTAAGGAAATAATGATCATTTGCAGACTATAGCAAACAATTTCATACTACCGGTAACAATTAAATATATTTTTTAGAGTAAATATTTAATTTATGCAGTTTATCAACTCTCTACAGCTTTCTTGCTAATTTTTTTCTTCTACATGTAGTAATTGGTGTCCTTGTCAATTGAAAAAGGTATTCAAGATATTAAGGCTATACAAACAAATGTATTTGAAAATGAGTAATAAGCATACATGTGCTGATGTGCATGTAGAAAGGTGACCATTAGCATAATTAGAACATTTAATGATAAATTATTGGTGACATATAAACAAAATGTAATACTCCTAAATAAATTAGAACATTTAATGATAAAGTAATGGGGACATACATGTACATTAACAAAAAATGTAACACTCCTAGATAAATTATAACATGAACAAAAATGTAATACTCCTAAATAAATTAGAACATTTAATGATAAATTAATGGTGACATACTGATACATGAACAAAAATGTAATACTCCTAAATCAATTAGAACATTTAATGATAAATTTATGGTGACATACATGTACATTTTTGTTCTTGTATGAACAAAAATGTAATACTCCTCCTAATAGTGTTTACTTTTATACATGTAAGTGCATCAATCATTCAATACTCTTGCATTGTACTGTTGTGTTGCTGGTTTCAGCACTTTTGAAATACCTGTAGTGTTCATTTACTCTGTAACTCTTCCTGACGTTGTGGTTGTTTATGCTGTCTAAGAATTTGTGTCAAAATGACATGTACATGTAGCTTTAATTGAAGCATAATGCACATTATACTCTGAAACCATATGGAGGTGAGGTGAAAATAATTTCCATTTTTTTTGTCTATCACACCTTTGACAGCTAGAATACAGCAGATGTTGTCTAATTTGATACCAAGACTTGTGAACTTGTTGTCTGTACTATCAAATCTGTTAATTAAAGTGTTAATAATGTGGTATGATATTCTATTGTACTTCCACTCCATATAACAGTCTGTAGTAATCTGAAGCAGACAAACACCATACATAGTTACATACATACATAAAGATCACTTGCTGCATGTAGCTTGTACATGTATGAGCCCTGTGATGTACACTGTGTATTATACACCGTATGTTGCAATACTGACTGGGAGACTGGTAAATGATCATATCTTGTACCTACAGAGTTCGGTGCTAGCACAGCTGATCAACCACTTTGGTGCATGTAGAGGGTTCGAGCAGGTGAGGCAGAGACTGCGTCAGGCCAGGGATCTCAGTATTGCTCATCTAGCAGCTCTCTTGAGGTGAGGATGAATCAATGAATGATTTTTTTTTTTTTTGGGGGGGGGGGGTAAAATAACCATTTCTGTTCTTCTTTATTTACTCATAATAATATAAACATCTTCACATTTTTAGCATTTGCCTCCATTTTTGGAAGGATATACACTATGAACATGACGGACAAAGAAAGAGGACAAAATGTGTAGAACAGGTGAATATGCATGTGACACCTGTTCTACACATTTTTATATAATAGCAGTGAAGGGATGTTCCTTTGTCTACCACAGCAATTGTTGAGGGTAGAATGAGGAACTGTATATTTTGTCCACTTTCTTTGTCCGTCATGTTCATAGTGATACATGGTTTTCTAATATTTTCTTCTATCTGTAAATGATTATTCAAAAGGTAAAACAAAATATGAAGAAGAAGACTCTGTTTTGTTATATTCTTTTTAAATTCTTTTCCAACACAGCTTTTGTAAATTGTGAAAAATGCAGAATTCAAAATAATATCAACTTGAATAAATGATAGGAGAAGATGAAGGAAGGGGGGGGGGGGTGGATGAGGGATGGATGAAGGGAGGATGGAATGAGGGATAGATGATATTAGGAGAGCATTGGGATAAGGGATGGAAAGATTGGAAGAATGAATAGAGAACATGCAAGGAAGCAGGATGAGAAAGATTATGGAATAATAGAAGGAGAAGCAAATGGAGGAGGGATATGTAAGAACAGAAGGGGCAAGTAGAAGGGAAAGTATGTCTGAAGATTAGGAAAGCAAAGGAGAGGGATGGAAAAAATAGGGGTAAAACAAGTTTGAAAGGACAAGGGAATATATAAGAGGAGATTAATGAAGGGAGGAGTGATGAAAAGGATGAAGGAAGCAAAGGAAGTGAGATATAGAAAAATGAAAGAGAAGAGTAAGGACTCCAAGGAGGGAGGAAATGAAAGCAGGAAAGAAATAATATGGAGGATAAGGAAACATACAAGGGGGGGGGGGTGATAAAACAGGAAAAGGGTATGGAAAATAAAAGGGGAGCGATTAGGGGCAGGGGAAGAAAAGGGAGGGGATGGAAAAAGACAGGCGATAAAGGAGAAAGGGATGGTTAAAACATGGAAATAAAGGACAATGTTATATGAAATTGCACCATAAGTAATTTTAATTTTCTCTTTGTCTTGCAGGCCTTTTGGACAGTGTTACCAGCAGCTTACAGCCGATACAATCAAAAGCTACTTCCTTCCCACTGTGGTAAGTCTTCTTTTTATTTATTTGTTTTTTAATTATTAGTTCTTTTACTTTAATAGCTCTTAATAATGATAAGAATGACCACTACAGTGAAGCATTCTCTCAGGAGGAGACAAGAAACTGTCTGACAGAGGTTGTTTTTTTTACATGTTTTACAAAGTGGTTTTGACCGGCTACAATAAATGAAGAAAGGCCTTGTGATTTATAAACCTTTCAAATGTTCATAATTTCCTTTCCAATTTCATTGGTTGTTTCTGCTTCTCTTCATCTTTTGGCACCAAATTCGTAAAATTCATAAAATTCAGACAATGGGTTTCTGCACAGCATCCAAAAAGTTTGCGCTATGAGCCTCAAAATTGCAATCTCCCTATACTAATACACACAAAGCCTGGGGGGTGTTTCATAAAGCTGTTCGTAAAAAGTTTGTCAAGTTACCCATGACTTTACGAACAACTTTTATATGAAGTGCCAGAAAGGATGCCCAAAGTTTTTCCTGATGTTTCCAATAACCTCAATTAAATTATGGCAAAAAATATACTTTGCATTAAAAATGTTTGTTACAATAAGAATTTTAATCTACATCTGCACAGTTCAACTTTATTTGATGCAGTGAATAATGATTGAGCATCCAATTTGATTTTTTATATACCGTACAAGTGATTCATAAAGTCATGCGTAACTTTACGTACAGCTTTATGAAACACCCCCCTGATCACATATATTTATAATTAATTAGGAGATTATTGAAACATACTTCTGAGTTATGCAAACACATTTTCATCTTTATATTTGTATTGTTGTAACTCTATTTTCATTGCCAAATTTCAAGATATTTGTTGATCCTCAGCCACAGATGAGACGTTCAGCTTTCCATGTACATGTAATTCATCTCCTATGTCTTTTCTTTTCTTTTTGTTTGGATAGGATGCAGTATGTTCTCATCTATTGTCATGTTCAGACCGACAGTTATTTCAACAAGACATTCAGATTGGAGAGTTACCAGCAACCTATCTTGTAGGGCCTCGGGCAGCATACGTCATAGTGGAGGTAACGTCTTTCAAGCAGATTTGTCATAATAATAATAACAATAATGATAATGATATTAATAATAATGGAAATAACATTAAAAGTAATAATATTAATAATAATAACAAAAATGATATTAATGATAATGACAATAATAATAATAATGATAATAATAATAATATAAACAATAATAATATAAATAATAGTAATAATAATATAAACAATAGTAATAATAATAACATTAAAATAAATAATATCAATAATAATAATAACAATAATAATATAAATAATAGTAATAATAATATAAACAATAGTAATAATAATAATAACATTAAAATAAATAATATCAATAATAATAATAACAATGATGAATGTTGCTGGTATAGCATACATGTATATATCACTTACATGAAAAAAGTCCCTATGCCCATAAAGAAAGGAGAGATATTTGTAAGTCTTGTCATTTTTTTGTAGCACAGTGTACAAATTCAAAGTTTTGAGTGCTTTCCTCCTCTCTCTCTCTCTCTCTCTCTCTCTCTCTCTCTCTCTCTCTCTCTCTCTCTCCTCTGCTGCTTTACTGTTATTTCAGAAAGTGACAGAGAGAGAGAGAGTTAGATAGACATAGAGAGAGGGAGAGAGAGAGACACACACACACACACACAGAGAGGGAGGGAAGAAAGCAGTAGTACTGTTATTCCAGACAAATCTGCTTCATGGAATCAATCGGCCTATTTTCACTGGCTATCACAAGCTGTGAATTGTGAATGCTCCTGAATAGTAAAAACCTGTAGAAAATCATATTGCATCATCATTTTGTAAATACACACAATACAATGACGCAATAGAGGGAAGTCGTTTGGAATACATCAATTTTCCTTTCATGGCATGTTGTGTGTGAAACGTGACTGGATTATGTACCAGGTACTGTCTGGTATAGTCAGATCTGTATGTTGTGCATTGAAACAACAATAAAGCAACTACATGTGTTATGAGTGCTTTTAAAGGTAAAGACCAGTTTTGGAAACGCCCCCTTTCAAAAAATGAAATGGAAGCTCTTATTACCAATCATGTAGAAGAATATGTTTTGGCTAATACGTGATGATACAAATTTTGCAGAGAAACCGCCTACTAATTGATATATTTAGTAAATTATTATATCTATTTGGACCTGATGGATATGACGCACGTGTCGCATAGTCCCATACACATCTTTCTGTGTACAGGCTTGTAACTTTACCAAGACTGGGCCAAATTTATTATGATTTTGATGACTCCAGAACCTTGCAGTACACACCAATACTTAAATGCTACATGATCAACTTTTTCTGATCCATTCCACATCTTTTCTTTCACAATGCAATCGCATGACCAGAACTGGTCTTTATCTTTAAAGTTCAGTCATGCGATAGCATTGTGAAAGAAAGTATGTGAAAGCAGCAGGAAAAGGTGGATCATGTAGCACACAAGTATTGGTGTATATATATATATATATATATATGGTGAGGTTTTGGAATCATCAAAATGATTAGAAATCAACTCAGTCTTGCTTAAAGTCACACACACTTTACACAGAAATATGTAAATGGGACTATGCTAACATGGCATGACAGTGTAGTCCATAACCTTGTAACTGTTAAGTTTCAAATATGAGAGCAGTTGAAGAACAGTCCTTCTCAACCAACTTTTTTCTATTATACTCTTCCGCACTAACATAAAAGAATGAAAAAGCTCATAGATTATTTTTCACCTTGCCAAGAACTCGAGATCTCTGTAATGTAAGTCATAAGAAATGCCAGACGTTAAAAGTTGAACCGGATTAGTCCACTTCTAATCAGTGGGAAAGCTGTTAATACAGAATGATTGATTTCATGACATAGATTTTTTTTTTTTTTTTTTTTTTCTCTCATTTAAATGATACATTTTATGGCCTTGGATACATATTTGTTAGCTTTCTGTATCAAGGTCTAACAGGAAATGTATCAGCATGATCGCATTCAGAATGCAAGTTATACAAATATGTAAGTTTCAACTGTTAATACATTATTTAATCCTATTTTCCTTTTATGTTCTGTTTCTCTATGTCTATCTCTTTCTTTATCATTATATCTGTTCTCTCATTCTTTACCTCATGTTCCTTTCACCCTTTCTCTCTTGCTCTCTCCATTTCTACTTTTCTTGCCTTTTCTTTCTCTTCTGATCTCTTGTTTTCTTCATTTCTTTCTGTTCCCTTCACTCTTCCTCTATCTTATGCCTCTTTTTTCACTATTTTTCATTTTCTTGCTTTCCCTAGTTATATCTCCTCTTTCTATCTCTGTTTCTTATCCTTTTCTTCCTTCTTTTTATATTTTCTGTCCCAACTTTTATTTGTTTTTTCTCTTCCTCCACTCATCTCTATCACACACTCTCTTTCACTGTCTGTCTGTCTCTCTCTTTCTCTCTCTTTCTCTCTCTCTCTCTCTCTTACTCTATGTCTATCAAATTCATTCCTTGAAATGCTGGAGCGCTGTAATCGCAGCTAGGCTAAAGTCGGGGTAATAATTAATGCGCCTCGGAATAGAATTTCTAGATTGACGGCACTATAGAAATGCCTATAATTATTATTATTATTATCCTTACTACAGGCTGTAATGAATCTACTGTCGGCTGTCAAATCAGAAGAATCAGAAGCAGAGGTCAAAGTTCAGTATTGGCAGGACACCATCCTCACAAGGTACCGTCATATCACCTGTAGAGAGCCAGAAGGGTGTTACTCATACACAGAGCCAGAAGGGTGTTAACTCATACACAGAGCCAGAAGGGTGTTAATTCATACACAGAGTCAGAAGGGTGTTAACTCATACACAGAGTCAGAAGGGTGTTAACTCATACACAGAGTCAGAAGGGTGTTAACTCATACACAGAGTCAGAAGGGTGTTAACTCATACACAGAGGTAGAAGGGTGTAAGCTCATACACAGAGCCAGAAGGGTGTTAACTCATACACAGAGCCAGAAGGGTGTTAATTCATACACAGAGTCAGAAGGGTGTTAACTCATACACAGAGCCAAAAGGGTGTTAACTCATACACAGAGGTAGAAGGGTGTTAGCTCATACACAGAGCCAAAAGGGTGTTAACTCATACACAGAGCCAGAAGGGTGTTAACTCATACACAGAGGTAGAAGGGTGTTAGCTCATACACAGAGCCAGAAGGGTGTTAACTCATACACAGAGGTAGAAGGGTGTTAGCTCATACACAGAGCCAGAAGGGTGTTAACTCATACACAGAGGTAGAAGGGTGTTAGCTCATACACAGAGCCAAAAGGGTGTTAACTCATACACAGAGTCAGAAGGGTGTTAACTCATACACAGAGCCAAAAGGGTGTTAACTCACACACAGAGCCAGAGGGTGTTAACTCATACACAGAGGTAGAAGGGTGTTAGCTCATACACAGAGCCAAAAGGGTGTTAACTCATACACAGAGGTAGAAGGGTGTTAGCTCATACACAGAGCCAAAAGGGTGTTAACTCATACACAGAGCCAGAAGGGTGTTAACTCATACACAGAGGTAGAAGGGTGTTAGCTCATACACAGAGCCAGAAGGGTGTTAACTCATACACAGAGGTAGAAGGGTGTTAGCTCATACACAGAGCCAAAAGGGTGTTAACTCATACACAGAGCCAGAAGGGTGTTAACTCATACACAGAGGTAGAAGGGTGTTAGCTCATACACAGGGCCAAAAGGGTGTTAACTCATACACAGAGCCAAAAGGGTGTTAACTCACACACAAGAGTTAATGCCTTTCTGGCTCTCAACAGACAATTATTCAATAGGTCAAATGTAGCGTTATAACATAGATGCTATGGCAACAATTAGTAAAAGACTTATGACCATGCTATCCAGAGGGGGTGTTTCATAAAGATCCTAAGTTGAACTTATCTCTAAGTTGGACTTAACAATTATGGAAAACCGCATCTATGAAAATATTTTGTAAAAGTTGTTTGAAAAGGCATAAAATGTTGATTCAAATCATTCATATTTTTTATTATCAAGGAGATTTCATGTTCTTGATGCAGAATTTATAAAAAGTCTAAAGTACCTACTTTTGTAATTTTAAGGCTACAAATGGCTCTCCATAATTTTCAAGTCCAACTTAGAGTTAATTTCGACTTAGGAACTTTGTGAAATACCCCCCAGATTCCTACTGTCTCCACTGGGTCAAATACTCTGACAAACCAGTACCCTAAACCTAACCTAAACCAAAATGCAACCCTTAACACAACCCTATGTCATTGACGAGAGAAAGCCTCGGCAAATAATCCTACCATTGGCATCATTGGATTAATTTTGTTCATGAAAATATGAGAGAAGCTATGGCTGTATGATGTCATATGCATTGTTGGTATTATGCTGAGCTATGACAAATTTCATGATGTCAAATACCTTTTCAAAATGAATACATTCCTTTCAAGGAGATTTTTTTTTTGTCAGATACAACACAGCAAATCATGTCACTTTGAATAAGCATCATTTGCTTCGGATAGCATGAAGTGAAAATATGAATCATACCATACCATTATGTCAGGGAAATTTTGGACCATAAATCTCTGGAGAGTTTCCTGTTGTTTGTATTTAGAAGAAATCCCCTGTACTTGGAAGAAAATCTCCACCATCCTGTTTTCCTCGTTCATGTTTATATTGAAGGAAGTCATGCCATAACTCTCAGGCCATTATGCTTTCCGCTGTCCGCACATGCACGCACGCACGTAGGACTTTCTATTCTTTTAGGTGCCTTTCGTTGATTCTTTCATGATATTTGATGATATGGTTTGAAAAACCTGTAGACAGTATCATATGACAAACAAATTTAAAACAAACATATTTTTAAACAGTTTACATATAGGTTCCATAATTGGCAAAATTGCTGCACATGGAAAGCTGATATTTTCCAGATGATATTAATTACTGCTATGGAGACTGTCAGAGGGCAAAGTGAATTAGAAATTCAAACCAATTTTATTAACAAAATTATCTGGTGTTAAAGTAGTCACCCAAAGAATCAAAAGTGTTTTGAATTGATGCAAAATTCATATCATTGCGAAGGGGGAGCCTTAATGATCAAATGTAACAAATTCCCTCTTCAAAATATGTTTGGGGCCCGCATTAATCATCTTTAAAAAATGTTAATCTTGAGATCCAGATTTTCTGCCTTCAGCGGTCCTCCATAGAGCGTCAATATTTGTGACGTCACAAGCGAGACACAGCTATCCACGAAGCATTTTACGCCTTTCCATGATATCTTTATGATTTTTTTTCAGCAAATTATTTGTGTTTTTCAAGAAAAAATCTTTCCATCCATATATAATTTGTCCATGATTATCAGTTGTCATGAATTTTCTTTGGGTGACTACTTTAATGAACTGTTGTAATCATGGTCCAGCTAGTTCATTAAAGCAAATTCTTAAATTCCAAAGAAGATATCTGTATTTTTCTAATTTTGTAAAACGTTTTCGTGAATGAGGGTAGACTACAATCATTCAGCTTTCTATAGAATATGTGCTTTTGAGTAATCACACGTGGGTAAAGTCAAACTATGATCATTGCTATTTCCTTTTTGTTTTAAACTAAACGTCTTCTAAAAGTTGGTGAAATCCAACTATAATCATTGTTATTTCCTTGTTGTCCCCTCCCTCTGGCAGGTTAAAGCATGCTTTAGAGGATGAGGTTAGCTCTGGTGAATGTTCACCCTCAGGAGGTACCGGGCATGGCCAGAGTGGTACCTCTAGCCCCCAGGGACAGGTGGCATCAAGACGAACCTCCAGGGAAAGCCAGAAAGATGTTTCTACACCAGGCTCTATCAGTAAGTCCTCACTTCAAGTAGTAATAAGAAAAAGGCCTGGGAAACTAGGGCTGAGTTTGATGTGTTTTGTCAGGAGCCCACTATTGTATAAGCTGTTATTTTCGCGAGGGTTTAATTTTAGCGAATTTCAGGAATTCTCCTGCCAGTGTCACGCCGGTTATAGACTGGCCGGAGACGTATTATTGTGAAAAAAATGGCACCTCATCATTCAGAGCACGAAAATATCAGCATAAAATGATGTGCTTGCATACCTTACTATAGTAACTGCCTTGGCGATGTTCGTAATGCTATGCCGTTGCCTCGCGCGTAATTTGCACAGATTGCACAACGCACGCACGTAATCCTCGTACCTACCAATACGGTACTTGGCTAGACTAGCTGTACATGTATGTGGTGGTACGATGGGCTAGGCTGCCGAAACACGTGTTTTTGTTGGTGTGAGAGTATTCAAATGAAATTGGAAAATTACAAGCAACATCATGATTTACGTGAGAGCGGAAAGAGATTGCATGCATGTCTTCTTTTATTCAATTCATTTGCGAAAATTACAAAGGCAAAGAGATTTCTGAACTTGATATTTGAAGAGATAATTTGTCTCACTCTTATTTTTGTTGTAGCCTGAAATATATTTAAAAGCTTTAAGATAGTCTAGGACAATAGGGCTATAAAATGGTTAGGATGCTATACTGAGAAAAATGAGGAACACCGACTGGTATCCATGGTTACCGGTAAACAATTCCTCTAAAATTGACTGATTACATGTTGATTTGCAGATGAGGGTGAATACGACATCAAGTCACCTACCAGCCTAAGCAGTAGATCCTGTCAGACCCTGCCTTACGTGGTAGACTCAGTCCAGCAGGACACCTTAGATCTGATTGAACGTCTAGCCAAGGAGAACGGCACTGCTCCATTCAAAGACCCTCTAACAACACCACAAAGCCCTACGGAATCATGCTCCGACTCCGGCACGATACCCGACCCCACAGACTTCCCTCCTGCCTCTCAGCAGATGATCACCATCGACATCGAACCGCCGTCTCCCCGACCTCCGCACGCATCAACACTAACCATGGACGCCACCTTCGATCTTGATGCGCCCTCGACGTCGTACGGGATCGTTGATCGCCCTAGTCAGTTCCCGTTTGACCGCATGCAGCCGGAGTTGGTTTCTAACGATGTGATTGTTTGGAACCAGGGGCGTCCGTGCCCCTCCTTGGCCTGTGGGTCCGGTAACCCGATGGAGGGTAAACACATTCCGTTAGGGTTTGGGCTGGATTCCAGCGACACATCATCCATGGTGTCGATGACGTCGGTAGCGAGGTCGGCCAGTGAGCTGGGCACAACGTGTAGGGTTTGCTTTGAAGGAGAGACGTCATCAAAGAACAGGCTCATCAGACCATGCAGGTTAGTCAAGATCAAACATTTATTTGGGTTCATTTGGGCTCATATGTTCCATACTCGTTTGTACAACCAAATGGAGTGAGGAGCATGTGGGCCCAAGTATCGGTTTGGCATTTTTTTCCTTCCTTCCTTCCTTCACACTGATGTCCTATCCTTTTCATTATTTTCAATGATTAATACTAGAATATAAGAATGTTTCTATTTTGTCTACCTTTTATTTTGATGGTTCTTTTATGATTATTAGCACAACGATATAGTTTCTCATTATATATATTACGTATTACTACAATGGGTGACCAAAACAAACTTTCATGTATTCTTGTGAATGTGGATGTATAAAAGAAATGAATTCAATTGAATTGAATTCCTGCAACCTTTACTTTTACCTTATGATAAAGAAATACAGGATTTGGATTTCATTGGGGTTGTAGGTTAAGTTTACATTGAGATTTAGGGTTAGGTATAAGGATCGATTTAGATTTCAAGTTTGAAAAAGGACTAGTGTGAATAGAACCCAGTGTAACTTTGTTGCTAGAGTATGACTTATTGTTTCACTAGTTCAATTTAACACAATCCTTGCTTACAGGTACATACATTAGCTCCATTCACATTTTCATCTGTTAAGTAAGCTTTCCCATCTGTACATATTAATCGTGGCTACTATTGCTCTGGAAATAGATAGGATTCTGTGAAGTATCTGAAAATAATAATCCTGAAATAATTAGGGTCATTCTGAATGTTAGAGGGTCTTTTGATGTTGATCTGTTAGGGCTGAGACCTTGTTGAATGTTGTTACGTTTGGTGTCCATAGCCTAATGCTAATTGATAGACATGTGCAACCATAGACATGTAACCTCTTCTTTATCTGAGCATAACTTCTGTAAGCAATACTTTAAAAGGATTGAGTAACTGTGTCTCAGATTCAGAAACAAAATCCTGGATTTAGCTCATGCTGCAATGATTTTTATAAACCTTTAAGATATTCATGATTGGAAATCGAAATCAAATTTTGCGTTTTACTAACGGTTTTCATAACACTACAGTCTTCTGGGGAAAATGTGTATGGTAAAACTGGTTATTCAAAGATTTTTACTTTTTTGAGGCACTTCATGATCATTTTGAAGCACAATTTTCTCAGTGCTTCATTATTACACCATATCACAGGCACTGATAACATGTAAGGCCATGCATCTCAGATTTAACATTGTTCAACGATGCCTTTAAAATCATGTACAGCCTTAGATTTGTTTTCTTGAAAGTCTTTGCGATCATGTTTTTGATGTTTCACACATTTTCCCACCCTTTCCTTTCCTTCCTTTAGATGTACCGGGTCAGCAGCTAGTATTCATCGTCAATGCCTGGTCAAATGGATCCAGATATCTGGTAACAGAACGTGTGAGGTATGTGGCGCACGCTTCAGTTATGTGCCTCTCTCAGAACACATGCGAGGGGTCATGGATAAATTCAGGTCAAATCGGGTAAGCCTAACACTTTGAAATACATTTTTCCACTCGTATGTATACTTTGAAAAGCATGCTCATATATATATATATATTGTAGTAATATATGAATAAAGACAAAAAGAATCTTGTAATTGGGTAAGCCTAACACTTTGAAATACATTTTTTCACTTCATGACTTGTATTTGTACTTTGGAAAGCTTGCTCATATATATGTGTAGAAAAATATGAATAAAACAAGAAGAATCTTGTGTTTAGATTTTGTTCTACATACTTGTATGCCATAAGGAATAACTTTTCTTACTCTGCAGTATATTTTAAAAAGCTTGCAAATGTATTTATGTTGAATACAGTAGTCATTATATGAAAAGAAACATTGTTACTCTTCCCTATGATTGCCTTTCTCGTCCCAGACGTTCATTTTAATTTTAATAGAGTTCTTTTGAATTTTGAGAACATTAAAAAAAAATATTTAAAAAAAAATTCATATCTTTTAAAGTTATTGAGCTTGTCCTTGAGTTGCTATGCACGATGTTCATATTATTGTATGTTAGATGAATCCATTATTTATTTTAAATTAATTCAGAATTGTGTGTTATCTTTTCATCTTTTTTGCAGAGATGGAGAAACGTTGCATTTGCTGTCCTGGTGGGACTGGTGGTCATTCTCTATCTCATCATCTTTGCTGTGTTTCCTGGTGGCATAATGAACAATTAACCCCACCCCAATCTCCATCCCAGCAACCCCCTACCCCGCCCTCCCTTTCTTATTTTATTTTAAACTAATGCATATTAAGTGAGGTTATACTAGATATCTATAACCCTATCGTTACTATGGAAGATATGCGATGTATGTAGTCAATGGCGAGTCTGGATTTGTGGTTGCAGGAAAGATGGGATGTATAGAAAAACCTAGGAAGATACATGCGCTGAAGAACCTGTCTATAAAGTCCATATGGGAGGTATTCCAAATGGTCTAGTCCAAATAGACAGGTTTGAGTGTATTGGAGACAGGACTTTATAGAGAAGTGGAAAGTACAGTATAACCTGCATTAGTGGCCACCTGTCGAGAAAGGCCGCATGTCTGTCGCAGGGGAGTTGGGATACCTATCCAAAGTGGCCCAAATTCTGCAATGGCACAGGAGATATCATTCAAAGACATTGGGAATGGATACCCTGCAGGTTAACTACATGTATGTGTGGTCATAAACAGGTATCTTGGACCACATGCAGCATCGCAACTGTGCCGGCTGTTTGCTCCACCTTCATGCATTCAAGGAGAGCATCTACATGCGTCTTGGCTTCCTCGGTTCCCAGAGGATAATGAACGTTTATTGCTGAAGGATGTGACTACTGCAACACAGTGGTTTGTGCCATATGTATGCCTGGGTGAAGAGTATCAAAAGAAAAGAAATGCCTACATAATGTTCAGTATTTTGTGCATTACAGTTTAGATCTCATGCAAGCTATTGTGTAGATAGACTAGTTGCATCTTATTCAATATGATGCTTAAGAAGCAATGTCATCGTAGTAAAGATATGCTACATGTATTTAGTGGCATGTTGGTTGGTCAGTTTGGCGTTTCATTTGGTCATTAGACTTTATTTAATGTGTTATTTTGCAAGGGTCAAGTCAGTTGTTGTAAAGTACTAAAGTTGTTAGCCAGATGTCTGTGAAGAAGACATCTTGTTTTCTTGCCAGTGTTGTATTAAACGGGAAGAGGGTTTTGTGCATTCTGAGTTTGCAGTACAATGTAAAATAACAGGGGAAAAGAAAGGAGTGCAAGTTTCCAAAATGTAATCAGGGGCCCTGCTGTATAATTCTTGTATTTTCTTACCTTATAACTTCAAGGTACAGTGTTTATTATTGATAATGTGCAGTGAAATCGCATTTTGAGACCAGAAAGTTGATATAAAGTGTTTTCATTTATTTATTTTATTTATTTTTTGTCAAAAAGATTTTGTTGATGTTGATGGGATACCCCATGTGAATGTGCAAAATAGCAGTGAAACAGTGATTGCATATATAGATGGATATCAAATAGTACTAAGAAGAACATACACAGATATGAATATATGGGACTAGGTACTAAAAATGGTTCTCATGGGCCTATCAATATTGAAATATGACCCTAATTCTCGCTACCCCAAATAGCGATTCTGCCGAGATCCGGGAAAATCCTGAAAACGCGCATTGCATTATGGGATAGCTTTTCGACATTACAGCTTCCTGTGCAGGCGTTCGTGATCACAACCCTCTCTTTCACGGTAGAGTTTAACGGCCTTTTGTGCTAAAGTCACTAATTCTGCCCGAAGCTTTCCATTGCATATTATAATCTGTACAAATTACACTGATTGGCATCGATTTTAGCGTGCGTGAAAACTCTGCACAGCGAACACAGGCGCTAGCGCCAGCGGGATGGGACTCTATACCGGAAGTTGTAGTGACGACCCGAGAGAGTGAAAATTACCTCGTCTCGCGAATTTCGAGATTTTCGTACCTATTTAGGGTAGCGAGAATTCAAAAGCAATCCTTCTCATGGTGGTACATTTGCTATTTTTGTCAATATAGGGTTTTTAAAAAGATGGATAATAAGGCTCATAATTTTTGTTTTGTACCTGCAAGAACATGTATATCAGTACTTTAATATAGCCTATTAATGCAATCAAGCAAAACTTGATGTTAATTAGGTCTCTACTTTACATGGGTAATGAGTAGATCTGATTGGTTGATATTTAATTGCTTGAAACCGAATGCATTCATTAAATGCATTTAATAAATACATTTACAAGTTATTCAGTAGGGCCCTTGATGGAATTGAAATAGAGAATGATAGAGAAGTAGAATGTAATGGACAAAAAGGCTGAAATATGAACCATATACTGTAAGATGGATACCGTAATTAAAGTAACGGAGCAAAATGCTTACTTTTGGTTAAAAGCTTCCACTTTTAATGTAAAGGAGATGGATTTATATATTTCACTAAGGGTCTAGTATATTTAAGAAGAGTAAGGTATTCAACAGACATCTATTGTGGACAAGAAGATAAATGCAAGGTATTTTATAAAAAGGGGATAAGATAAAAGCAAGGTATTTAAGATAAATTCAAGGTATTTTATAAGAAGGGGGGAGAAGATGAAATCAAGATATTTTATAAGAAGGGGCAAGAAGATAAAAGCAAGGTATGTTGCCTACTGACAGGGGTGCTCTCCAACCTCGAAGGAAGGAGAGAACTTGTACGGTAGCCAAAGGGTTAAGAATGTTTGGTTATGTATACATATTTATTCAAGCTATGTAATTATGAAATGTAGACAGTTGTCTTGTTGGTCAGAAAGATATTGACAGTCAGGCTGAGTGAACTAATGTATTGTAGACAGAGATTGAGGTCAAATGAGATATGGAGAGACAAGAGACCAAGTACTCACTGAATATATCTCTTCAGCCTTTACCGGCAAAGCATACAGTCAATGTATAATAATCCAGAGTTCATCTAGTCCTAGAAATTGCCTTCTTACACAATGGTAGAGTTGATAGTTTTACTGAATAATATTGTCTGATATAATTGAATATGAAGTAAAGAAAACTCCTTTAATAATTTAGCTCTGATGCCACTATCTAGCTACATGTATGTACAATTCATGTACATGTGGCATAAATTTGCTTGGAAAATCACACTGAAATTTCAAATCACAGTTTGGATTTCATGTCTACAGTCCACCTAAGGCTGGGGGAATCTACATTGTCTCGTTGTACGGTTGATTTCTCTATGATTTGTGTAACAATTCAAAGAAAAATTGTGAAAAAAAGAACAAAAAAGCATACCTATTTTTATATTGTGAATGTTGAATTCATGTAAATGTATGATCGATATGGTATTTCTATTTGTTGCACAATGTTGTTTAATGTGGCATAAGAACAGAGTTTGTAGAATAATAACATATTCTGAAAGGCGAAAATTATCTGTTACTGGTTACTAGGCATTAACTCGTTATTCTCATCAGGGTTTTCACTCCAAATACCCTTCTGAAAATGAAAGACTGAAGAGAAGGGACAGCATGATGTTACACTGTACTTTTTATTTTATAAGTAAATAACTTTAGGGCTTGTTGTGTTTATATATATTCATTACAAATCATGTGTTATCTTTGTACATATTTATGTATTACATGCAATGCGAAATGTTATTTGTTTTGACAGGTTGTACATTATCCATGTTTTCTTTTCTGCTTCACAGGTCTTTGTGCCTAACTGTCTCTTTAGTCCTAACCTATCCACTCTCTTGTTCTTTTCTGTAAATGTATCTTGCCATCTCCCTCATCCTCTCTTCTTCTCCAAATCTTCAATTTTTCTCTCGCCCCCCATGTCCCTATCTTTTACCTTCCTCTTGATTCGTCACTCTTATTTATTGTAAAGATGCAAACAAATCTAAAAATGACTGTAACCATGGCATTGTTGTAAATTTCATACACAAGTACTATTCCACCTGGATTTGAATACGGTAGATAGTCTATAAATAGTCCGTTGAGAGCCAGAATTGCAGAACTATTTGTTACAATATACAAGATAGTAACACCCTTCTGGCTTTTCAAAAAATGGATTTTTCATTCTTAAGGCTGTTCTCAGATATGGAGCGGCAAAATGGTAACTGTGTGCAACAACGGACGTACACGTATTCACTGAGCTCTGTGTTACAACATTGAGAAATATGGTGAAGGGGCTCACGCTGATGTGGCTCCAAACAGATGATTTAACTTTGTATAGTACCTGTGAATCCTTTGCTTGTTGGCTACACAAACAGTATATATTAGGTTGTTGAAAATAAGCAAAGGGTTACTGGTATTAAACTTCAAAATCGATCAGCCCATTTAGAATTTCAAGTCTAAAGACAAGCTTTAATTCGTCCTTAAGTATTGAATATGGGTAAATATTTTGGTTGGTTAAAACGGCCTACTGCTCTATATTACCCGAGTCACACACCACCAAACTGACACCACATCGGTTCCAGACCAACTGATTCTTTCCCATTGGAGGTAATACAAGTTTTACCTTGGTCTGTTTTCCATCTGACTTAGGTCTCGTTGATGTTACTGGGGTCAAAGGTTAAATAGACTGGAAAGTGAGGTTAGACATTATTTGATCAAGCAGACAACACCAAAGTCGAAACCCGGGATTATCATTTTCATCAATTTTCAACTTTCATGAACTAAAGGTACTTTGTTTTATTCACTTGTAAATCAGTATTCATTGAAGGTAACAACCCTTTTGCCAAATGTAATTTCATAATCACTGATTGAAATAACACAGAATAGCAAGAGAGTGGCTGTGTGTGTAGATGACGATGAGTAGATAATAGATGCGGGATGTTAATGCAACAGAATTGAAACTATTCAACTTGTACGGTAGGAAACGTGATTCAAAGCGTTACTTAAATTTTGGTTATAATTGTCTCATGACAAAAAGTGTTTATTTTCCTCAGTTTTAGCAGTTGTATTTTCAGTGCCTGGGGTATTTGGTTTGGGCATTGGAAAACATGATTCTATTCATTTCTTTCAAGGGTCGTATAATGGTTGTGTCTACACTTGTACCACAATAAGAAATACTTGTGGCTCCACAAATTTCAGTGGTGAATCGATCTGCATCCCACAAAATGCAATTCAAAACAAAATTGTTAAAGCTCATATAATGACCTTTTGTACAAGATGTGTTCACCATAAATATGTGTGAAGTTATCTATTTATATATATTTTGTGCTGTATCTAGGCTTGCTATTTAACTTTGGTTTGTTTTTGTTTTTTAATGAGCTGTATAATTACTCTATATTTGCATGAGCCACGCTTGTACATATTCCTGACTACTTGGCTATCATGTGTATTTAGTGATCTTCAATGCTGTATCAGTTGAAAATAGACAAGGTATAAGCTTTTCCTCCTAAAATAGACCTCAGAACTACCAGTTGGTCTTTATATTTATTTTATGCAACCAAATTAGTATAATCATTTGAATTCATTTACTTATGCCCAAAATCCCCCTTTTTTAGTAACCAAAAGCCTGCTGAATGGTGCCATTGAATTGCCTTTTGAATATTCATGAGGTCATCTAGGTTTGTGACCTTCTACTTAGGATTTCAACAAATGGCCCAGAGCAGAGTTCTGACAAGGTTTGAATGCGACATTGATTGGACTTTGTGGTGTTCATTGTTTATCTTGAGATGACATTGTCTCTTTATAGCCAGAAGGACATTGATATGTATATTTTTATGTAGAATTGATACCATCTGGCTCTTGGCATATAATTTCTTCAATGTCGATGTTGCCAACAAGTTTGCTTTAACTGTAAATGTTATACATGTATTGTGATATAACTTGCAAGGGGCTTTAAGACTATTCCAGTCATTGGGGTGCATCGTTTATGTGACATATTATCATTACTAGTACCGTTAATAAGCAACATTTCTCCTTTAATGTATTGAGTTATTGTATTGTGTTCAGTTGGTGATTGTTTATACACTTATGAAAATTACTTTGCAAAGAATAATTTAAGTACTGCCTCACATTTGTTTTTCTTCTTCACGCTTGAAAAGCAGTTGGGTTGAAGTCATTGATTTATTTATCTAATTTGACTCCTAATATGTAAATTGTCCTTTTCTGTTTCTGATGTTGTTAGTTGTGTAATATAATAAGAGTTGAGTTGTGGTTATTAATTTGATTGTTGTATACATGTACTATTTATTTGCTGACCTTTAACCCTGTGACTTCACCCTCCCTGTGAATCAACGCAAACATTCTTGGAGCTCTTAGTCTTAGTTTTAATCTCATCTAAGGAATGCAACCAAAATATTCTTGTAATTATTCATAAGCAATTTTGTGACCCTGATTTAACTTTAAAAGTGCATTAAAGTATACATATATATATATTTAGATATAATGTGAGGTCCTATTGACCTGTCTATACATAGTTGTATTATACAAAGCATTATTTATAGTCATAACCCTGTCCATATTGGAAACTTTTCCGACTTTGATTCTAACCAAGCCAGCTATAATTTATTGAAATTCTGACTTTGCGAAAGTGAGTACCGTTCTCTGTATCAATATTTAAGATCAGAACAAAAGGCATCTCCTGTGTAACAGTAGTGGACCATATTCTAATCAGGTTTAACCTTGTGTGAGGTTTAACCTGGCGCTGGGTTTAAACTTCATCTCAAGAAGATTTCAACAAAGAAATAGACAGAGGTCTTCGTTTTCCTGTTGATTATGACTTATTCCTCCCGTTTGGTTTAAATTGATAAGGAGAATATGTGGCAGTTTGTTTTGGAGGCATTGGGTGTATCTTGTGTCCATTAAATTATTTGTTAAAGATGTTTATGCCTGGGTATATAGTCGTTTGTGAAGTAGGCAACTTGGCGATCACCACATAACACTGAGCCAACAGGTATTACGCTCCTGTGTGTATGCCCGTGTGCTGCCCTCTATATACTCACGCTTGAGCAACTTTAAGAGCCAGGAGGGCATTAGCCCTATGTTAAAGTATATATGAGTTAATGTTGTTCTGGCTCCAACAGACAATAGACATCTTCCCTCTTGCTAGTGAGATCCTCATGCATTTAACCTACCCTGAAAAGTGAATTGAAGGAGGGATTACCATTCATTATTTTATTTTTTAAACACCCAAAAGGGCATTAAATTAATATACAAGTATGTAAAAGAACGCTCTTCTGTATAGCTTTCAGTAGACAAATTTTCGCTTGTGGCGATCAGGGTTTTTACAGAAAAAGCCAGTTGAATCAGATCTAGGTTACTTTCAAAGATGATATTTTGCTGTCCTTAAATTATGAATGAATGTAATAATCGTCTGTTGCACGCAAGAACACCGTATTGTCAATGGCAGTCGCATCCTTGCAGGCAGCCGATGACATGTATTAACATGGTATGGTTAGAATCTTTGAATAGTTTTACCTGTATGGACAGGGTGGTAGTTTTGTGTATGGTTTGGTAGACGAGTTAACCTTGCATTTCATGTGGTACTTGTCATGTTTGGTCTAAAGCAGTATCAACGCATTAACAAATATATAAATATACATTTTAAAAAATGAATAAGTTTGTTGAGCCTCTTTATTACGTCATGATTTTTCGTTTTCTAAAGTAGTCTTTTCTTTCAATTATTTCCTCCACAATTCCATCAATTCTTTCTTTTGCTTCTACTTTTCCCCACATGTTCCTCATCATTTTCAGACCACCCCTTCCTCCATATTCTCAATTTCTTCCTCCTCCTCATCCTCTTTTCATTCTTCTATGTCAAAAGCAGTAATAATTGCCTTTACAAATATACACAATATATTTGTTAAAATTGGAGCATTCTAATTCTTTACATTCTGAGCCCTTTTCATTCTTCTTTTTGCCTTTTTCATCTTCTTTTTCTTCATCTTCATCTTCACCCCCCCCCCCCCCCCCACAAAGGGAACAGCCACTCTGACCCCCCCCCCCCTCTTCATTAATGTTTCGCTTAAAAATAAAGAAAAGAATTCATGCCAAACTTTTAGTGGCAGTTGTTTGGAGAAGGGAGGAGAGAGAGAGAGAGAGAGGGGGGGGGGGCGAGGAGGGTGCAATCTTCGTACTGTACAACTCTACCGGACTTTCTTTTTTCTGAGCTGAGATGACTGTTAGTGATGACGTAGCTCATAGGGATGTTGTTAATCAGAAACGTTGATAATATTTTTGTTGGTGGTGTTTTTCTTTGTTGTCTAGCGCTTAGGCCGTACTATCTCGCCTGCTGTAAGTGTCCCAATCCCCATCTCTCTCTCTCTCTCTCTCTCTCTCTCTCTCTCTCTCTCTCTCTCTCTCTCTCTCTCTATCTTCATCTCTTGGTGCATCTCTCCATTAATAGCACTTTCAGTCGACTGAAATGAACAAATTCCCTTCTAAAATAATGTTTGGAGAAGAGTAAATTAATATACAATTGCGCCACCTCTTGCCTATAACAGTCATAATTTCATCAGGTTCATGCCTCTCTCCCTGTACCACCTCTCTCCCCACACCCCCCCCCCCTCTCTCTCCCTCTCTCTCTCTCTCTCTCTCTATCTCTCCGTCTTCTATTGTCATCATCTTAGATCTTATGTTAGCAGGGCATACAAATTATGTCTGCACAATAAATTGTCAAGATATAAATGTGTTCTACCTAATTATGTTCCCGAACACAAGAGAAAACGTGACGGTCCATTTTGTAAAAAAATATTTATTTCGTGCACAGCATTAGTATAACCAGCATTAAAACGCCTCGATTCACATGTATTACATTTAGTCGTAAAACATGCACCACACCCGTCAAAAAACATAAATCGTATCCTTAAAAAAGGAGATGGATGTAAAATATTTCTTTCAGGTTCTTGATGACAGTAAATGTGTTTTTCGTCGTGTAGAAGAAGAAGTTTACCAATCAATTTCCACTCCACTAGAACGTACGTGACGTTAAATAAAGCAACACTTTCATATACATAATTAAGAAAATGTGGATAGTCAAGAACGAACATGCAATGCCATTGGCCCGTATTCTGAAGTCAGGTTTAAAGTTAAACCAACATGACTTCAGAATACGGGCCGTTGGGTTTTATCCAATAACTACTATCCGATCGAGCAGTTTCAATGAACTCTAGTCGCTCTTTTGATTTGGAATAACACTGCGCATGGTTTTAAAATGAGCCATGATTTGGAAAATCATGAAAATATAATTCACTAATTTGTCTTAATTACAAAAAAGGAGCACTATCCCCCCCCCCCCCCAATTCGTGATAAAATATTTAGCGGCGAATCAGCCAGTCGGCGAATAAGCGGGGGTGGTGGGTGAACACTCCCCCCCCCCCACTCAACATCCACCTTTCCCCACCCTTGAGCAACAACAAAAAGAAAATGTTATTGGGGGGGGGGGCAGGGGTTGTCTTTAAAATTCATAAACACCCCCCTTTTGCCAAGGGAGGGAGGGGGGTGTTTGAACACCCAATACACCCCTTCTATACGCCAATGATACTGTTCTTTACAATGCTACAAACTAAGCATGCACGTACAATTTAAAAGAGCTACTGGAACACAATCACATAACCTATTTCAGTGTGTCACATTGCGGCGTACCAAATAATTTGAATTCAACATACAGTATAATTTGTTTAAAACTATTACTTGCGAGCTACAACATACTGAATACGTGCTTTTTAGACTTGTGGCATCATGATTTATCATACGCCCCTATTTGCGCATTGATTGATACACGAGTATTCTTGAATTCAACATGGAGTAAAAAGAAAAAAGAAAAACTGAAGATATTTACGAGCTACAATCGGATATGCAGATGTAGAACCGACTGGCTCAGAGACAAAATACTGAATACGTGCTCATAAAACGTATGTCATCATGATTTATCTTACGCAAGTCATATCGAAATGTTTGATTTTAAAGAGAATGTATTCCAGAAGCATCTCAATCAAATTGCTTTTATAGCAATGATTATTCATTTAGAAATAGTGGTTATTCTAAATTTCATAAGTGGGACCTCTCCACGTTTATTCATTTATAACAAAATAATAGTGGGTTCTTGTATAGCGCCCATGTCTGTCATACGTGACAATCCTCGCTCCCATTCATTACCCTGGCTCAAGCAAGGCAGCCATACGGCGCTCTAGCATTTCATTTCAAGGAATTAATTCCTGCCAGGTACCCTTTTACATCCCCTGGGATGAGTGTGGCAAATAAAGATCAATGTCTTGCCAAAGGACATTAGTGCCGCGGCAGGACTCGAACCGCGGACCTTGTGATCGACAGTCAGGTGACATATCCACTTGCACGACACCTCTATGTATGCATGTTCACAATTTCACATTCATTGGAGTTACTTAACATCACATGAAAAAGAATATAATTTAACGAATCATTTTCAATGTTACATTCCATTTGAATTGACTTCACGTGAAAAAGAATATAATAATGTTTTATCAAAGACAAGTTTTGCAACTAATAAACAGTTTGAAGAATGAACACTCAAACGGGGGATGAAACATGAGTAAATAGAGCTTGAATCATTACAACATAAGTTTTGAGCGGGTTTGGGGGGTGGGGGGGGGGGCATCCGGGACATTAGCTCTATTTAAAATGGAACCGATCGATTAGATATAGCCTGCTCCGTTCATCCAGTATTGGTCCATCACACCGTAATTTCGACTATCCCCATCGTTCTCTTCATGGCTCAGTATGGGCGTGGTGTTTCTATAGTAACCGTTCCGCCGTGTTCGCCCTCGTTTCAACCTCTCCTCCAGGCTTTCGACGCGGATCTCGATCTCGGTTGGAAAATGACATCGCGTCGTGCTCGGGCAGAAGTCCCACTTCCACGTGAGGTAGGCGACCATGAAGAGGAGGGTGAGGTAGGCCGCACACGATATTAAGATCACACCTGATGATGTCGGAGGCGACGACGAGGAGGAGGATGATGATGATTGAGAAGGAGAGAAAAGAAAACATGGAACTTATTAAGTACATGTGGTAAAATGCTGCGAAATGTGATTTGTTTATTGTCTTGTTAAGCGCAGCAATGTCCGGTGTGAAATACTCAGATGCTGTCACGAAATCAAGCCAGAGGAACTTCAAGTTAGTTATGAAATGAAAGTATTCATAAAATGTAATTCATTCAATGTTGAGAAACAGGATGATAACATCACAATTACAGAGATGTATTCCAAGGTGTGTCAGCAGTTGACAGCGGGGAAATGAAACTGGAATACGTTCAACCACCCTGGTTCAACATTTCCATATCGAGGAAGTACTGTATACGACACGCCCTTCCCTGGAAGATAACGACCAATACATTTCATTTTAAATCATAAAGTAGGTGTCGTCACCGATTCGTTCTTAACATGGATCCATTTTGCTAATTTATATTCCGCTTGTAACAAAATGGTGTATATTATTCTCTTTATTTCTATTTACGAGCTGTTTTATGCATGTATGCTGTTACTTTCCATCAGGAAACCATCATCAGGTCAGAACAGCAGGAAAACAATCTCATGACGATGGAAGCGAATATACATGTATACAATCATGAATGAATAGACATACATAAAACAGAATCGAGATTTCCTGCCATGCAGATTGCAATGACATTGAAAAAGCTCGGATAGGGTAAAGAACTTTTATTGGACGGCATTCAAGTAAATTGATAGGGTATGCCAGAAATGACGATCTAACACAATTGTCTAGCTAAATGACTCTTATCGAAAACAAGCATGCCAGAGGTTTAGCCCTGACTGTGAGTTTGGAATGACAGGAAAATGTAATTTAATTCTGTAAGTAAATCTTCCCTGTAATCATTGTGCTTTGTGGAACGACGGAATTTAAAGAGAAAAGTCTATTCTATACAGGACAGGTTGACTGGAAATGTACACCCCCTGTATCATTATGACATCACAATCGAGTGTAATTTTTTTTGTCCATTCCATACGAAAATTTGCTTGAAAACCTTATTTTAAAGCTATTAACTAGATCACAACGACTTTTAGAAGAAGGCTTGTGCGTTACCTATTGAATTGTACTGGCATTAAAGGGATCCAGTAACTTTAATTTAGATCCTTTAATAAAATCCTTGATTTAGCTCATGCTGCAATGATAATTATAAATCTTCAGGTCAATCAGGAACCCCATGAATTTTACAAGCCGATCGCCTGTCCAGTGTCCAATTATCAAGATATTTATGATTGAAAATCGAAATCAAATTTTTGCGTTTGCCAAGGTTTTTTCATAACACTGCAGTCTATTGGGAAAAACGAGTATGGTAAAACCGGTCACTCAAAGGTTTTTACTTTTTTGAGGCATCTCTTGATCATTTTTGAAGCGCATTTTTGGGGGCTTCAATAAAGCACCATATCACAGACACTGATAACACGTAGGGCTGTGCATCTCAGATTTAACATTGTTAAACGATCCCTTTAACAATGAGATATTACATAATCTGAACATGGCTTCGATAGGCAATACACAAGAGGGTACTGAAATTACCTTCAAGTTGATTTCTTGAAAATCTTTGTGATCGTGTTATAACATGCTCTTTTCGATGACGATGTTTTTCATTTCCACACTTCGTTATTCCGACGTCTGTATCATGTTCGACCCCCTCTTTGACCTTTGACCCTTTCTCTGCCACTTCATCCAGGTTTAAGAACAATTTTCATTTTATCTTTCAAGAGTCAAGGTTTTCATTTATTCGGGAAGGGGTGGGGTCCTCTGCTCAACGGGAACAACATGTAATTATTCATGATTTAGGAAGAGGATGAGAGCTTGCAACACTACCTAAATTTGTATTCATCACTTATATCTTATTATCAAGATTTTTCTTTTACCATTCCATATCTTACCATATGATACGGCCATACTGGCTGGTTTACTGAGTTGTAGTCTTAGATCCTCATCATCCAACACGAATACACAGATACAAAAGAGAGGTAGTGTGAGGGCTGCGATGGAGACTAGTAAAGCCCAACAGATCTTACGATTGGTCATTCGTACATTTGAAAGCTCCTTCATCAGATAGTGGTAGAAATGATAGAAAGAGAGGTGATTATAGTTTGCTAAATTATGAAAATTAGAACGACATTTACAGTATTAAAACACCAATACACATTTTATAAATGTAATGCTTCCTGGGAGAAATTTCAATAGTTTAAACATATATTTGTGGCTTACACCCTGGTTCAAAGATTTTTTCATCAATCGATCTTATTTACTGGGTGTAAGCCACAAATATGTTTCAACTACAATACGCAGTGTTCGAATTAAAAGTACTGTAATGGAAATTACGACGTGGAGGCCTATACAGCTGAGCTTTCATAGCATAATAACAATATTAATAATATTGGATTCTTATATAGCGCACGTATCGACCTTGCAAGGTCCTCGATGCGCTCCAACATTACCCGGCTATGCTACGCTGCCGAATTCGACGCTCACAGCATTTAAAGGAATTCCTTCGTACCGGTACCCATTTAACACCTGGGTGGAGAGTGGCAAATGTAGATCAATGTCTTGCCAAAGGACATCAGTGCCGCGGCGGGACTCGAATCGCGGACCTTGTGATCGACAGTCCGGCGACGTAGCCTATCCACCCATACCGTTCATAGGATTGAGGTTTTGTGTAATGTCAATCAATCTTCTTGGTTTGGGGGAAGGGTGGGATATAGGGGAAAGGAACTCTTCGAAACCACGTCTCTCTTAATTTTTCAAGAAAGTTCCAGAGGTTTTTTTTCAAGGACCTCAACACGGTCAAGTTCAAGGTGAAATGTATTTCATTTATTAATAAGTTTTTAAAAGACAACATAATTATCGACAAAAGAACAGATCACACAATAATAATACATGAATGAGGAGACAGCTTATGAAGGCAAGCGCCTTAAATCCCGTCTGCACTAGTTTGGCCAGGGGGAATTAAACCTCCCTGCACGGTCACTGACAGGTGGTTATATCATCAAATCAGCTCTCAATTAACAATAAGAAAAAGGGGACCATGGGGAACAACAGACACCGATCAGGCATTGTTTGCTACATAGAGGGCGCAATAGCTATAAGTAGTCACACTGGGGATTTAAGGTTGTCGTTGTCGTTGTTGCTGATATGTTGTTGTTGCTGTTAAGGGGGTGGATGGAGACGAACACAGACGGTTTTTCAGACGACGATGTCAAACATGAAACATTCCCACTTACCTTTAGGGCCTTCCACATCGATGTCGTCTTCCAACCGACATCCAACTCGTACAGACACAGCTCACAAACACTACTTCCTGACGTCATCAACCACTTCTTCAAACACGTGATGTGCACGTGACTAGCGCTACCTGTACATAGACATGGATTAAAAAGCTGTTCTCCAGGAATTTCTCCATCGAGACAAATTCGACAGGATACCGAGCTTATGCTATCGTTCAACGAAATCTTCCGATCCGTATCGACGGATACCGATGTTTTCCGAGATGTAGTGACGAAATGATTATTGCAGTCTCCAAGCGAAATCTTGCGATCAAGGCCGAGTGATAGCGAAGTTTTTCGGGAAGAAGAAGAAGCTTTAATAGGACCAGAGATGTCGTGGAGGGAAAATTTCCGATCACTTGCGAAGGGAACCGAAGTTTTTCGGGGTGGCGAGTCGAATAGTTTGCTCGAACAGTCATTGAGAGAGAGTTTCCGATTTGTTCCGGAAAATGCCGAAGTTTTGACGGCTGTTGAATCAAGGGGACTTAAAGGTAACGATGTAACAGAGTTTGCCTCTAAAATGTTCCGTGTGATATCAGCTGCACATGCCTGCAGGCCGATGCTTATGTAGTTTGAACTCCTTGCAATCTTGAACAAAAAGAAGAAATAGATAATTAATTAGTTTCTCCTTGAATTTCCATTCACGCCACGAACAATCGAAAAAAACATAAGGACAAAATATACAGTCAAACCTGCTTTAGTGACCACCTGTATAGAAAGGCCACCTGTCTACAAAGACCACATTTTTTGTTTCCCTTGAAAATGGTTTCTCACTGAAACATGTACTAAAGGAACCTGTACATAAAGACCATGCACCTGCCTTTAAAGACCACTTTTCTTGTCTCCCTTGGTTGGTCTTTATAGACATGTATTTTCTCAAGATACTAGTATATTATTGACCAGGGTCCTGTTTTACAAAGAGTTGTTATTAATCGAACTATGTACATAAGATATAGCAGACTGCAAACTTGCGATTGATCGGATGACTTGATTTGGATCAATCGCAACTCTTTGTAAGACGGGGCCCTGTGCTTTAAATCAATTATTAATAATGAAAAAATAAAGCTTCAAGCTAAAATGTCACGTTGTGGTAAAGTCAAATAGGTAGGCCTACTCTATAATTTTGGAAATAAGTCAGAATAAAAGAATATTTTTTGATATACATTGTATTTTATAAACTGATGTTAGTCAATGGATAGCAGGTGACGAACGATGATCATAAAAGAGTGTCACTTTGTGCTTATGTGAAGCTAATAGTGGAAAGAAATGGAGAGAGAGAGAGAGAGAGAGAGAGAGGGGGGGGGGGAGAGAGAGAGAGAGTCAGAGGGACAGGCATTATAACTAAAGTGATATCGGAGAGCATGGCATAAAATGAGAGAGTGAAAAAGAAAGACGGAGAGAAGAAACATTTTTCCAATGTTTTAAGCGAGAGGATGAGGAGGGTAAGAGAGTGAGGGAGAGAGGAGGAGAGATTGGGGAATGTTTTCCTTTGTTATTATGCTAGTGCGGAATAACATCAGAGAAAAAATGTTCCCTGAAAAACCTTGGCTCTTAAAATGCCTTCATATTCCAAATATGACATGTATAACAGCTTAAAAATGAGGCCCATATTTTGTTTGCCACATGTTTGTGTAGTCCCATATACATCTTAATGTGTACAGTGCTAATTATTACTTTAACCAAGGCTGGGTCAAATTTCTTATCATTTTGATGATTCCAGAACATTGCAGTACACACGAATACTTATAATTATGCTAGATGATCAACCTTTTCTGATCGACTCCACACCGTTTCTTTCACAATGCAATCGCATGTTCAGAACTCAACTTTATCTTTAAGAGAGATAGAAGAAAGAGAGAGAGGGGGAGGGAGATAGAGAAAGAGAGAGGGGGAGGGGAGGGAGAAAGAGAGAGAGAGAGAGAGAGAGAGAGAGAGAGAGAGAGAAAGAGAGAGAGAGAGAGAGAGAGAGAGAGAGAAAAGGGAAAAAAAGGGGGGGGGGGTCACGTGAGAAAGATTAATAAGTCTATTATAATTATCGACACATTCGCATGATATAGATAGGAGAATTTTAAAAATAAGTGTCAATGAAAATAAACTCTTTTCCGGACTAAGCAGTAAGCAATAACACACGATGTGAAATGTTTAAGACAATACGAGTGTTAGTTCAGGCGTTAATTAATGGCAATGAATACATGCACAATATATTATCCATATCCTTCTAGCTGCAGGGCCTATTCCAGGACGGTCTAATTGTGTTTCAAAAATGAGTCAACCGAGCTCAGACAAAACACAGCTTCGCCCATAACTATTCAGTTGCGTATAATATTGGGCCTATAATTTACTCTCTAACTAATATCAGGTTTAAGACTTACATTAAATGTGTTGAAATATTTATCATGCTCACCCTTGGTAGTTCCTTTTCATGAAAGGACCATAAAAACATCAACTTTTAAGAACATTTAAAATTCTAATGACACATGTCTTTTTTGTTGGGGAGGGGGGGGGGGGGGGGTCATCGGTATATCAAATAATTCTCAAAATTTCGCCTAGCAAATCCTTGGATTAAAGTCAAAGGAACTTTTAAAAGATAAGTCTGTAAATCCCCTGAAGCATAGCCCTGAGACACTCTTGAGTAGATTGTTGATCTTGTTGATAATAATATAGTGCTTTTCAATCTCAGGAAAAAGTGCTTTATGTATCCGAATATTCTTACATTGAACATCACAATTAATAATTGATTATTTTGATTTTTCTTGGTTTTATTACAACTAGTATTATATTGCTATTAGTATTATTGTTATTATTATTATTATTATTATTATTATTATTAATATTATTATTATTATTATTATTATTATTATTATCATTATTATCATCATCATAGTCATTATAATTATTATAATCATTATTATTATTATTATTGTTATTGTTATTAATATTTTTAGAATAAGTATTATCAGTAGGCCTATCCAGGCCAGTATCATCATACCCATGATCATTATTATTATCATTATATGTTGTTGTCGTTATCATCATCATTATCATCATCATCATCATCATCATTATCATCATCAGGATTATCATTTTTATTTTAATATTGAATCATTCTAACATTAACCATGTAATATGTGTACATGTTCGTTGCCATGGACAAATCGAAAGATTTAAGATTTAAGATAAAAAATAAATCATATCAGGGTTAAGGAGGCTTGGTTCCCTTCTGATGTGGATCAAGATTTTTCATATAAGGTGGGGGGGGGGGGGGCTGAAATGCTATAAATCAACAAAATAAACCGTGACAACCCCTACCCCTCCCCCCTCCATTCACACACCACCTCCCCCCCCCCCCCCAAAAAAAAAAAAAAAAAAAAAAAAATGATAAAAAAAAATAATAATAAAAATAAAACAATCACTAACTGATCTGTAGAAAATATAACCACTGATTCCTTTTGTTTAAAAAGAATATTTAGGGGGGCAAACTTTACCCCTGAGTGGAACCGCGTACCCTTCAATTACAATACAGGACATGCATGGCATGTTTAAAAACTCTGTAGTATATTAGCGTGCGAATGCTTGATATCGTGTTGACATGAGTTATCTGTTTTGCCTTCGTTTCGGTTGAATTCCGGCCAAGCCAAATGGAAATATCCAGACTTTGACAAAAGGAGGGCAGCTGTTGAAAATCCACAAGTGTTTCTCCGCAGAAACTTGGCAAAAACATGTAGTTAGCTACTTGGCTCCCTCAATAAAAACCAAAGTCAGCCAGGACGGGGAGGGGGGGGGGGGGTACGTAAAGATTACAATATATTTTACAAATTGAAACAGTCGACGTGGCATGACATTAGATCATTCAATAAAACTATCATTTTTATTTTAGGTTTTATTAGATATACCGTACTTGTTTAGGTTTATTTGTCGGCATCGGGGTAAGGGGGGAGGTGAAAGCTGAGGAAGACATTGACTCCCCTTACCATAATCTTATCTTTTATTTTTTATTTATTTGTTATTGACTATGTAATCTTATTTACTTCGATACTCATAAATGTTGATTTCTTACTATCTTAAGTAACCTTAAACCCTTATTATGTACACACCATGGACTGAATTTGACGGAGGTATACTGTATGGCAAAATGGAAGAATATATCGTTACCCCAGCCCCCGAAAGCAATCCACCATTGCTCCTAAAAGTCATGAAAGTATAAAGCCACTGATATGTTCTACATGCCAAATAACAAATAACATCCTCTACCAGCTGAAAAACTGCACTAAACAGATACCCCCCCCCTCCCCAATAAAACTCTTTTCATGCACTTCAATATTGAATAAACCCACAGGATTAATGTATAGTCCCATGAACCTGAATACAAAATGTGCGAATCAAGACTTTTAGATCATGATTGTTAGGTTCAAAAGATCATAGCCGTATTACCGAACGGATTATAATAGCACATAAGCTTAGTTCGACACATATACTCTAAGCCTGTTCTCATAAGTTTAAATCATCGAGCGCGTGGGACATAGGAATGAACGAAAGTTGAACTCTATTGAAAATGTATTATGAATTGACCGAATGCCCTTTTATATCCTTCCGTGTGTATGTGGATATAATCCTGACCATATAATTGCATCAAAGTAAAGAAAATTAAAATTGTATTTCGTGACAGTTGAATATTGTCTTATGCTTTCATAATTTGTATATGTTTATCCATAATAATTATCAATCTCAAAGATTATTCTTTAAAGATAATTAATTATTTATATATTTTGAAACTTCTGTTGCAGCCAACATTAAATTATGTAGAACTTTGCAGGAATTATGAATATGTCACGTAAGTGTCCTATCTGCGAAATGTAAACGTTAGCAGTGTCCTAATATTCAAATTATCCAAGGAAAACCTTTACTGTCAGACACTATTACGTGACTGACTTATTTTTTGTTGTCGGTAATAACATACAGAAGCTGAAAAGGGCACCTGAGCGTTTGTCTACATCAATAACCCACTTCTTGTAATGGCCAAAATTAAACTGATTGAATCTTTACGCAGTATAAAACGTAGGATCACTCAGTACAAGGGTATGCAAATCAAGACTATTACTTACTGAATTGCAATCACTTAATGGTCGACAACTAATGGTCGTTATTTTCCCACTTATAGACATTTTCAAGCCCCCCCCCCCCATTTTTTAGGGAAGTTCTAAATTAGTATTATCTTTCCAATCTGCCGTTGAAATTTAACCTTTGCATTGTTTTACTTACAGCCCTTTTCCCACTAGAGGAAATGAAACTAAAGGTGCGTCTAATGAGAATCAATGTTTAGCAAAGGGTTAATTTTGACCTGTTTGTTATAAATATTTCAAAGGGAAATCCAACCTTGAGGGCAAACTACGTTAAAAGAAAGCAGAAAAAATATCAAAATATCAGCAGATTGAGGAAAGTTTGAACGAAATCGGACAAAACAAATGAAAAAGTTATGATTTTTTAAAAGTTGTAATCACTCTACGTATGGGCACTTCAAAGTGGCTTGATTGGCAGCGTCACTGTGACAAAGTGCCCGACAATTAACTTTCCCATTTCTTCAAACACACAAAATGACTAAAGTTTTAATTTTTCAAAATATATCACTCAGGAGAGTATGTTCTTTTTAGAGAAACTTTTAACGGTATATCCTATATCCACAGTTTATTTTGAGACGTGCCCCGAGTGTGAATGCGCTTAAGGGGAAAAACATAAATTTGTGAAATTTTGGACACGACAAACGGGAGAGTTGTCCATAATACGTTAAAATCCAGTGACCAAATTGTAAATTTGCGATTCGCATAGATTTAATGATCTCATTATCATATCAAACACTCCTAACTTACTCTTTATTGTTCCGATTTCATTCAAACTTTTGCCATACATAAAAACGAACTTATTACGAAGGATGGAATGCCTAGCCTAGTGCAAAATAAACGAAAATGAAAAGCATTGACCATAGTACGGAGTGGATATAAAGGCCTGAAAATCACTATGGTACATCGGGTGAGAAGAGGAGGCACTTAAATAATGTCACGAGAGAGAGAGAGAGAGGTCCTTCACTATTCGAACACGACAGTTGCAAGTTTTTATCGTGAGATAGAATTTTCTAGTAGAAAGTAATACACCTTTCTAGATTTGAGAAACAGGGCGTAACCGCACCTTGCCTCCCCCTCCCTGCATGTCCCGCCCAAATTACCGACGCCCAGGAAAAAAAAGGTGTTGCTTTTCTCAGCACCATTATCAGATTATGTAGCTTCCATTATTCAAAACAAAAAAGACTACAGGTATCTAGGCCGAAAGAGGGGAATTCCATTAGAAGCAGAAGAGCAAAACAGGAAATTTCAAGAGATTAGTCAATTATTGGCAAGGAGGAAGTGTTCAGAGTTCTGAGATAATTGCGTTTTATGAGACGACTATACGTACTAAACATTGTTAACAATGAATGGTAGTTCTAATTGCACTCTCTAACGCCTTTCAAAAAGAAACAAAAAGTAATATAGTTAATATGCTTGCGTATAAGGAGGGGCATTCTTGATAAAATAATTATATTGACGAAGTCAGAATAAATCGAACTGAGCCATGCATTTCCAATGATCTTCTGCATCACCCTTTAAATGTTCGAACCTTCAGTAAATGTTCGTTGACAAGACACAGAGATGTATATTCCATGACCAATAATCGCCCTAATATATAAAACTGCCAGCTATTAGTAAATTATTAGAGAGAAATGTTCACAATCAACTCTAAGACTATCTAGTTCTTAATGGTGTATTACGAGAGGTATACAGTTCGGATCAAGACCCTGTTACTCGACAGCCCCGGCACTAATTGAGGAATTAACTGAGTTATGGCTACGCGCCATTGGTGAGGGTTTATAATCTGTGCTCTTTTTGTTGATCTATAAGACTTGTATTTGATACAGGGGAATCGTCTATAATATATTGCTAATAATAATTGGATCATTTTATATGGTGCAGCTGCTATAATAATCTCTACTGCGATGTGATGAAAAACAAAACGCCTGACAGTGCTTTACTTTACAAACACACGATAAAAAATAAAATAAAAAACTATTCAAAACTCCTTACAAAACGTGCGTCTCAACAAAACTTTGAAGGCAGCAACAGATGAGGTTTTTCTTATGTCTAGTGGTAGGCTATTCCAAAACTTTGGAGCGGCGCAACTGTATGTTACGTAAACTACAGGAAGGTCACCCCTGACGCTACTTCACTGGAGGGCTTCAAGGGAGCGCTTCCACCCAGCATCTAGACCAAGAACTAGATAGTTTATTCCTCAGCACTACATCCTGACTTATGGATCCTGCTGAGTATCGTCGTAGAAGTAGAAGAAGCGGAAGTACAGTACATTGTGTTGATTAAAAATCATACTTAGCGAACAGGATAAAACATGTGGTAGTCAGAGAAGCCCACTCGAATCCACGTCCAATGTGTATCACAAGGGTCAATACTAGGGCCCCTACTATTCATAATTTACGTTAACGACATCGTTAAGGTATTAACGGAAGGGCGTCTTATCATGTATGCAGGCTCCTCTTATTACAAAATGATTTAAAATGTCTCCACCAATGGATTGTTGATAATAAATTAAATCTAAATACAGACAAAACTAAATTTATTAGCATTGTTAGTAAACAGAAAATCAATTCACATTGCTAAATGGTGATATCTCTATAATCCACGATGGTGTATATTGAAAAATATGTATTGTGTAATGAACATGTTAACTTTCTACGCAAAAAAGGAATTTGCCTGCCTATAGCAATCTTGAAACGAATACGACCCTTCGTAGTAATGAAACACTGTAATCATTGTACAATATTTATTGCTTGATACAATCGCAAATGGACAATTGCTGTGAAATTCGGGACAATAGATTAAATACACAATCTGAACATATCACAATGTTACAAAAGAGGGCGGCAAGAATTATTCTTAATTGTATATACACTCTCGAAAGAAATGTTTTTTTTTACAGTTGAAATGAAGCCCTTTAATGAACGTGTCATATAGTTTCGATGTGTGTTTATCCATAAATGTATTCGTGGTTTATCCGCTGATTATTATTTCAATTTCTTTCCTGAATTAAGTTAAGTTTTTAAAACAAGTTTTTTAAACAAGTTCAAGTTAAACAAGTTCATTTTATTTCCATTTCTCGTAAAAAAAAAATACATTTAACAATACATTATACATAATTTATAAGCAAATATATAAATATAAATAATACAAAGAATATGGAGGAGCTAGCAGAGGCCATTGGCCTTTCAAAGGCTGGGCTCCAATGTCCTCAGATAATAATACAAAGTAAAGAGAAAAGATAACAATGGGTAGTAAATAAATAAACAAATGAGTACAGGCTATTTAAATTAAACATACGATAGGAATTCCTTCATTAAATAGTTCTTGTATTCTTTAAATGAGGCAACAGATGGGCACATTTTTATATCGGTAAGTTCTCATTAAGAATACACAAAAATATGTCAGACGTGATCTTGTAATCCCCAAATGCCGCACTGAGTATCGAAAGCATTCATTCTGCTACGACAGCCCTTTATTATGGAATAATAATTAGCCACCTGAAGTAAAAACAAAAAGCACTCTTGAATCATTCAAAACCTAATTGAAAAAAGTTCTATGTTCATAATGCACAGACAACTGTAACTTTACTTTTTATTTTAATTATGTGAATTGCAATGGAATATTTTTTGTTTTACTTGCTATTTTTATTGTGACCCTTCGAATCGAATGAATGACTGTTTTACTCACAGGGCCCCAAGCACGAGAGTCCAACTGGTTATTGAATGGACTACTACTACTAATAATAATTATAATAATGATAATAATAATAAATAGAAAAAAGAAGAAAACAAAGTTAAACTGTATGACAGTAACATACCGATTCAGTCGACATCGCTTTTCCTTTGTTTTCCACAATCTCGTTGTCCGTGTTGACTTCGCCTGACTCTCCGATCTCGCTGTCTTGTTCATTTGCTAAGGGAGAGTAGCGCAAGGCCACTTCCTTTAACGTCGCCATCGTAGACAAATTTCACAAACCTTTCCGTCAAGGCGTCAATAGTAAACAAATAAATTCCACTGGTCTGAACAATAGCAAAACAACGAATTCTCTAACTTGGAGCAGATTGTCCAAGTCAAGTGTAAACATCGATTCCTCAAATACAACGACAACTTTGTATAATTCACATACAGGATTGAGAATGGTACAGATAAGAGGGGCGCGAAACTGACTGATCTAACTTCAATGAAACAATGTCAACGCGCTGTCCAACTTTCTGTCGTAGCAGACGACGTCCTTGTGTATTATAATCAGTCCGCCGTGACACTCCCGCGATCTTTCCCTGGCAAAGATGGCGACTCCAATAGAATTCCTCGACTCGCGCTGATTTTGCGAAACACCTGTTTCAGTCCGAGATTGTTATGTCTGATAATTATTGTGGAAGCTGGTGGTACAAATGCGACACTTACCACTTCTTTCGCTTTTTAGTATTATATACACCAGCCAGAAAAATTGCGTTTTTTTTTTAACGGCCTTATGTGTTGTTTTAACTTCCATAAAACACGAATACAATCAGCACGCTCTTTTCAGTGTAACTAGGAAATGAAATTTCCCTAATCAGGAAGGTCTCATAATTAGACGACGCGGATGAGGGACATTCGGATGGCGTTGTTAACATATTTGAGACAAGACCTAGTTGTTACTGTTAATTCACAGCTAAATTATAGGCCACTAGAGCAATGGTAACACAACCGTAAACTCTTAAACAATTTTGTACCACAACACGATAAGTCGGCTAGTGAGTAACGTCCGCGTTAGGTTACTAGATTACTTTCAATTTCGTTCTCTCCACAACATTAATGAGGTCAAAAGACAATTTTTATTTTCTTGAAAGACAATATTAGACTGCTCGATTGAGTTGCGATAAGACACGGAGTGTAAGAAATGCGCCCCTACTGCTTGACGTATCAAATGGAAGCTCATTCCAACCATAACATTGGACTTACAAACTGAGGCTATGTATCGCTATGTAATGTATACCGCCGATCGAGCCCCCCCCCCCCCCCCCCCCCCCCACCAAAAAAAAAAAAAAAATCGAACAAGATGGGAGAAAAAAATATGATGTACGCGGAAAATACAGGGTATCCTATATGTAACATGTACCAATTTGATAGCACAATAGCCTTTAATTATTTGCTTGTACCAGCATCTTCAATAACGTACACATGTAAAGCTTAGTTTACTATTATAGTGCTGGTAGCTCTATGCTGTACACTGGATCATATTGGGGAAATATACATGCATAATATCATGTATAATATATGAGAGAGAGAGAGAGAGAGAGAGAGAGAGAGAGAGAGAGAGAGAGAGGGGGGAGGGGTCCGTATGAGATGATGACAGAGAGGGTACGTGCAAGGATCAAGACAGGGCCGTCGCTAGAACATTTGAGTGGGGGTGGGGGTATAATAATGTGACACCCAAATTTGCTGACAGATATGTTACACCCTTATCTGTACACCCCATGCACACAACCTTCCCCTCCTTCCACGGTTACACAATTACTATATGAGTTGAATTTGAATTTATTAACAACATAACACAATGTTACAAATGTATTCAAGTGGGTAACAAAATAACAACAATTAAACAGTTGCTGTCGTATACATAATACATGAGTTACAAAGAAAAAGAAAATATCCATAGTTGAACCATTATGTACAAAATTAATCATATATCGTGTCATATCAAACCACAGGTCCTGTGAGTTAGCCATAACTTCATAATAGATAGAGATTTGATTGGATTCCTTAAAGATACATAAAAGTGTGGCTGGAATTGAAATTCACAGAGTTCCAATTGTTATTCAAATAAAGGATATGTTAAAGATAAACTTTAGTACTGGTAATGCGATTGCATTGTGAAAGAAAAGGTGTAGAAAGGATCAGAAACAGTTGATCATGTAGCATGTAAGTATTGGTGTGCACTGCAAGGTTCTGGAGTCATCAAAATCATAATAAATTTGACCGAGTCTTGGTAAAGTAACAAGCACTCACATAGAAAGCTATATATGGGACAACACACATGGTGTCGGGGCTAGTACTACCTTGATTTCCTTGTCTTTCTATGCTCATTACTCAGCCAGTATACATTTTCTTCCAAAATTGTTTGGCACATGTCATTTATTTGTAATCTTGAACATTCAGTGTAAGTTTCGTTTGATTCTGTGAGAATTTTTTTTTTTTTTTTTTACCAGTACTGGAGTTTATCTTTAAACTTAAACAAAATAAAATGTTGTTAAAGGAGAACCAAAAGTTAGCACGAGTGCTAGTCGGGACCGGTTCTCCGAGTTTCTAAAACTGTATGCAAAGTCATAATATTCACACTCAACAATTAATATAAGCAGGAACATTTATTTACGACCAGGAAGCTGATACGACCACAAAAATAGAATTATTATGTTTCAAATGCGATCCGCCCTTGGTAGATATTGCAATACCAGGCGCGGATCCAGGATTTCTTAGGGGGGGGGGGGGGGGGGCCAAATTTGAAATTATGCGAGCCAAATATTGGTACGTAATGGTGACCAGCAGTGACGTAATGCAGGGGGATGTAGGGAGGGGCGAGTTTCCCCCTCCCTCCTCTGCAAAGCGCGGAAGCTATATGACGTTTCATTAAAGTATTAGAGAAAGAAGACAATTCGTTGTACCGTTCTCGACTCTTAATCCTTGTCTAAATTCAGCCCCCCCCCCTCCGCGCAGCGCGGAAGCTTTGACGTTTCATTAAACTATTAGTGAAAGAAGACGATTCGTTGTAGCGTTGTCGAAAATTATCCTCGTTTGAATGCAATTTTCCGTTCCCGGAAACTTTTACGTTCCATTAAATCATTGACGAAAGAAAACGATTCGTTGTACCGTTCTCGACTCTTAATCCATGTCTTAATTCAGCATTTAGGCATTTGATTACGGTCAGATGAACATATTTATATACCTTATTTGTGACACTGGCAGGACACTAATTGGCGTGAGGTCCAGCGGGCGAAGCCCCTAGAAAACAGGGGTTATAGGCATTATATTTCCGTCAGATTAGCATCCAGGGGAGTCTAGGGCCCTAGGCGGGGTGCAAGGGACGAAACCCCGGAAGCTCAGGGGTTTTTAGGCGTTTAATTTCGGTCAGATGAGCAGCTAGTTAACTATTCTTTCTTTCTTGCTCTCTTTATTTCTATTTCTCTTTACTATACCTTTAAAAAAAAAAGTGGAGGGGGGGGGGGGGGGGCTCGAGGCTTGCGATTCTAGCCGATCCCCGGGCCCTAACTTTTCTCAAAAATCATATTTCTTGCCTGGCTGTAAATTTAGGAATTTTCCAACATTTTCATTTTCCAACAAACGCATACAAAAGTAAAATTTACTAAAAACTGAGGAAAAATCTCGGAAAGAATTCAGCATTATTTGCAAGCCACTGTTATGAAATTAGAAATAAACCACGTTTGAATTTGAATTCCCCAAGCCCCCCCCCCCTATCAGTACGCCAGTGCCCCCTTTTCTTCTTTCCCTTTCTCTCCTCCTTAAGGTTTGCCGAGGGGGTGAGGGTGGGGGCAAGGGCCTTTTCGGCCCCCACCCCAATCCACACGTTGTTGGCGGGATTAACCGGAACTGATCTCCCGTTCTTTTCACCATTTCGTTTCCTCTTCCTCTTTTTTGTTCCCTTTTAGCTCTCCTCTTTCCCTTTTCCTTCTTTCTCTCTTTGTTATAGCGGGGGCGGGGGAGGTAAGGGCCTTTTGCCCCTCCTCGATCCACCGGCGCGAAAATTGCAAATGATATCCCCTTTCTTTTCTTTTCTTCTTCCTCTTTTTCCTTCCCTTTATCTCCTCTTACCCTGTCCCTTTCCTTCCTTCTCTCTTATTTTTTGATTTGGGGGGGGGGGGGGGGTGCAACAGCCTGGGAGGCAAGGCCCTTTCGCCCCCCCCCCCCCCGATCTCCTTCTTCACCCGTTTCTTTTCTTCTTCCTCTTCTTTCTTCTGGCGCTACACCTCTTACGAAAACAAAATGCAAAAATATCCAAAAAGAGAGGACTGCAATGGGGAACTTTGATTTAAGCTATACGCGACCATTATTCTCTCATTTCCTTTCACATTGTATCTCATAACCATGAGAATTGCCAAGCTATTGTATACGTTATTTCGTTACACGCACACACACGCGCACAACGCGCGCACACACACACACACACACGCACACCCACACGCACACACACACACGCACGCACACCCACAAGATCATAACCTGCACGAGTCTACAAGGTGTGAGAAAACTCTGATTCAGGAAAGAATGCAAGGGTGAAAGTAAAAGCGAAAAAAGTGGACACTCTCACATGGCTTCCATGGATGCCGTCTTTGTTCTCTTTTTGCCTTCTTCTTACTCCTTAACCGTTCGCGCATATTTTTTTTTTACAAAACTGTTTAGCCATATATAGTACATGTGCAAGCACGTATACCCAGAGAAGGGAAGGTAATAGAAAAGGGGGAAAAAAAATACATAAGGAGAGTGCAGAGGATATGGAGAAAGAAAGACAAAGAAATACATAAGAAATACATAACGGAAGGGCTTTTATGGAGCTCTCACACTCTGCCGTGTAGGCCTACCGTCCACCTGCCGGGCTATTAAAAAAACAACAGAGTCCAGAACGGTGGGTTTTGAGCGAACTTGTCCCCAGCCGCAAAAAAAAAATCATAAAATTAATCTTTTCACCGTTTCGTTGCCATCTTCTGACCGTTCTCACCGGGCGCATACCGGGTGTTAAACGTGCTTCTACCGTCTTCACCGCCCAGATTGACTTTTGTTGAAAATTTTGGCCGTTTCCATACCGGGCCCATACCGGGTCTCGAACGTGTGCACCGGGTTTGTAGCAGCCACCTACCAGTCACTTAGCGTCCCCTCACCGCTCGGAGCGTCCTGTGAGCAAGTCCCCGGACAGCTGACGTCATGACACGACTGCCATAAATAGGGACTTTTAGATTTGCACGTTGACAGCTTTGACTGCAACGTGTGACGTCATGTTAAGGCTCTGCGCATGCGTCACGTCGTCTCAGTCGGCGATCGAGAGGGCGTCAACCTTGATTTTCCTAAATCTAGTACGGTACTAGTATATGCCGCGTGCGCATAGAATATACAGTTCCTCAGGTAGACAAAGAAACATCCCTTCCCTGCTATTATGTAAAAATGTGTAGAACAGGTGTCATATGCATATTCACCTGTTCTACACATTTTTACATAATAGCAGTGAAGGGATGTTCTACCACAGCAATAGGCCATTTACGTAATGTAACCAAATTTATTTCATAGGTCTTTGTGAAGTGCCTCAATACAAACTATTTCATTCACCTGATAAGAATAATAGTATTTCAATAGACAGAATCCTAACTGCATACATTAAGTTGTTGCCAGGTTGGACAAACATTATGGCTTGACCTACCTAGCAATACTTAATTTTGCAGTTGCATTCTGACTATTGAAATACTATTATTCCTATCAGGTGAATGAAATAATTTGTATTGAGGCACTTCACAAAGACCTATGCATTAAATTTGGTTACATTACGAAAATGGCCTATTGTTGAGGGTAGAATGAGGAACTGTATATTTTGTCCTCTTTCTTTGTCTGTCATGTTCATAGTGTTACTTCCTGCATGCATGTATATCGTCGAGTGCAATCTAAAAGAATTCTAATTGTAGTCAACATGGGCAGTTGAGTACGTTGACACGCATGATCAGTCGGCGTTCGTCGTGTTCTCGTCCACTCAATCTAAAAGTCCCTAGTATCCCGATTTGAACGGCAACGGTCAGTCTGCTCTCCATTTTTCATCACCGTTCTGTAACGGGTTATGAGCGTGTTGTGAACGTGTTCATACAGTGTGACCGTTTTCATAACGTATTCATACCGTCCTCATACCGTTCAACACCGTCCTCTTGCCGCTTCCTTGCGGCCGGTGCCAGCCGGCCAAAGTTTTGAACATGCCCAAAACTTTCGCCGGGTCCCACCGGGTG